AATGGCGAATATTAAATCTTAATATTTTTCTTACATATTATCTATAATTTATACCACTGGGTTTTCATTTTTTTTTTCACAACAGGGAAATTATTGAATTACCAGCAGCATTTAGCGACGGAAATTGATCTTTTTTAGAAGGATTTGGAATTGACCGACTGCAAATTAATTTAATGTCGGTAAAACCCGCATAGAAAAATATTTCTAGCGGTCTTTTCTGGCGGCAAATATTTTCAGGGATTTTCCTGCGGAATAAGGCCGCTGCCCGCCGGAGAATAAAAAAATTAATTTAAAATGAAGTCGTCTGTCGGCCCAGCCACCCGCTGGTCGCTGACTATTCGGGATTCGAACTGAGTCTAAGAAGTAATTCTAAGTCCCAATTATTTTGTTCTAAGAGCAAATGTATTAAAATAATAATATTTATTTATTTAAACTATAATTATATGAAAATTATTATTAATAATTAATTAAGACAAATTAATAATTAATTAAAATAAATTAATAATTAATTAAAATAAACTATAAATTTATTAATTAATTAAATTACATATACATGATTTTTCATAAATTATTAAAAACTGCCAGAAAAGTTTCCAAAAATAAAATTTCGGAAAAGTCATAAAAAATTCTTCCAAAAAATTAGGCCATCGCAAAACAGTTTGCTGGGAAAATCCGCCAGTAATGAGTGATTTTCCTGTAGTGTTTTTTGAAATTATTGTACAAATATATTATTGTCAATATTATTAATTATATTTTTTCAATATAAATAAAATATTCAATCATTCATCCAAGAGTCTCCCATACGACTATGTAAATGGTTATTTATGTTGTTCATTATAAAGAATGTTCCTTCGACTATTGCTATAGTAATTGGTACGAATAGGGCAAGCTTTATAAGTAGAACACCAAAGGATAAATATCATTCATCCTAGTCTCTTCTATTTTTTGAGCAAATTCTCTAAATCATTTTAAATTCATAAATACATATGTCGATCTCAAATCAACAATAAAATTTTCAATTTGATTATCTAGTATTACGAGGTACATTTCTTAAAAATATGACGAATAAAATTTTGTTAGACGTAGCAATCATTCTTTATCATGCATAACATAGATTCAAACATGACATGGATTTAAACATGACACAGACATAATTAATTATGTATTATTTGTCAAACCTGTTACTAAGCTCTTGAAGTTGCATATCTATCATAACATAAAATAATTCAATTTAATAAAGATATCTATTTGTGATAATTTCAATATGACATATTGATCATTATCGCATCACAAATGTATCAGTCATATTATGAATATTTATGTTATTCTTCTTATAAGAAATTTCAAGTTCTTTTAAAAAATTCACACATAACATCTCTCACATTTTGAAGCATTTGTTTAGAAATTTTTATTAAAGTTGTGACATTTATAATGTCTTGATCCTTTCTTTTTAGTACTTGTTATAACTCATTTATAACTCCTAATATAATCTTCATCATATGCAAATTAAAAACAAATTCAAAATTTTGCACAAAATAAAATAAGACATATATCTCATATTTTTGCTCACTGGTAGATCCATCTTGTATTACTATCTTAAGAACCTCAGTTATAGTTCCAAACAGAAGAATTAATTAGTGAATTATATTAGGAACCCCAACGAGTATCGTCTATCTTTTAACAAGTAGTGTCTCCACACAATATTCTCTCATTAGGATAATAATTCAAAAATATTTTTCTCAATCTAGGATCAACAGGAATATCAGCAAAATTTCTTTCGGCATGACTTTGTTTAATTTGTGTATTATTTTCAACACATAAATTCACCTCAATATTGCTGCTAGAGCATTTTCAAGTATGAGAGCTGATAGAGCATTTGCAAGTATGAGAGTATATCAAAAAACAAGTAACTAACAACCCTAATTAAAGCTCTTAAGTCTTACTTCTTTTTTTTTCTTAAGAATAACATCTTTTTGATTCATTTTCCGAATTTCTGTAATAAAGTTGTTTACAGATATAATTTGTTTATCTAAATCAGATAACGACATTCCTTGGGGTGTCAATATTTGACACGACTCGAAAATCCGACCCAAAACGGGTCATGTCGGATGGACCCGGACTTGAAGTGGGTCGAGTTCGGGTCAAGAAAACTGACTAGTTTCAAAAACGGGTCGGATTCGGATTGACCCGAATAGTGCCGGGTTAGTTTCGGGTTCGACCCGGTCGGGCCCGTGACCCGAAATTGACACCCCTTAAACATTCCCAATAAAACGTTTCACTACTTTAGGAGCCATACCAAAATCAAAGCAAGTTGTAGGGAAATAAGAAAAACTAATAAGTAATAACATATTTTGATTTTATTTATAATTAAGGAGCCTTAAATATATTTAATTAAGCATTAAGTGCACAACCAATGGGGGCCATGCCCCGAGGGCCCCATGATAAATCTGCCCCTATTCAAAAAAAAAAAACATTAAGGCTTCGTTTGATTTGAAGTTTTTAGTGCTTATTCATTTTTAAAACATCAAATTCATTTCTTCTTTATTGTTTGGTTCTTTTGTTTCATTTTTCTGTTGTTTGGAGAAAGTTTTTTATATATGCTTCTCCGTTAGAAAACTTCATTTTCTGAACCAATGTTTCTTAAAACTGCCATTTACAAAAGTACCAAGAAATCAAACGAAGATTAAAAAATCGTCTCAAATGAAGTTGTAATTGCACATTGAATGCTTATTTCATTTGCCCTGGAGATAGGAGCATTTTAGTAAATTAATATCTTCGACATACCCTCTTGATCTGTGATGTCATCTAAGTGCTTTTGAGAAGAACATCTTCACCATATAATCATACTCGCAGCAGATTCTTTTGATATTAGGAAGGTTTTGGCGAGCATCCTTTATCTTATATTGTTCTATGGCTTTTTTCAATCAAACATATTGAAATCACAAAACATCTGAATCAATGAACCTATTCATCATTAATGATACATCATCAAAGAATTATCTTAATCGGGCATGAATCTCGATATAAAATTAAGTTTGAAACTTTCGAAATTAAAATTGGGACCATTTGAACTCCGATTTCAGCAAACTTATAGTCAAACTGAGCGTCTCGAAATTATGAACCCAACGACACCAAATTCAAGTCAATTTGAGTCCAAATGGGTCCAAATGAAGGACCGAAGCGCTATTGGAAGCTTCAAATCACAATTTATATTACCAAATGTGACATGCTTATAGTAGAATCGAGCGGCTCGACGAAACAAATCCAATGAGCCTGAGATCGCAAAATTCTGATGTCATTAAGACATTCAAAAGCCTAGTAAACTGTCTACGATCAAGGGATTCAACATCGGCCGTCCATCCAAATTACTCTCAACTTACCCTTGATCTTCCAGTTATTTACAAGTTATGCCACTCTAGAAAATCTATAAATAGGACCCTACTTCTCATGAAAGAGGGACCGCAAGCAAGGAATCAAGAAAGAGATCGAAGATCACTCTTATCTTCTCGCTCCTCCTCGACCGCCACCCGAACTTCCTCTGGACCACTACCTCACGTTGGAGTTCTGCCGTACCACCGCCCGATGCTAGAGTTCCTCTGGACCACCGCCTGACATCGGACTTCCGTCCGGACCACTGCTTGATTTCGAACCGCCGCCCAATGCTGGAGTTTCGCCAGACCACCACCTAACATCAGACTTCCGTCAGGACCACCACCTGACACTGAACTTTTGCCGGACCACCGCCCGAAGCCAAAGTTCTGCCAGGCCAACACTTGACGCAGGAGTTCCACCGGACCACCACCTGACGCCGGATTTTCACCAGGAACACCACATGACGCCGGACTTCCATCGGACCACTGCTTGACGCCGAACTTCCGTTATGACCACCGCCTGACGTTGAACTTCCGCTAGACCACCGACAGAAGTCGGAGTTCCTCCAGACCACCGAATAATGCCCGAATTTCCGTCGGACCACCTCCCTATGACTACAATCTTTCTGACCCCTGTCTCCTGCCGACTATGATCCTGACCTCCATTGCCTATTACGGTCCTTCCGACCTCCATCGCCAGACAACGATCTTTCTAACCCCTGTCTCCCAACGACTACAGCCCTTCCAACCTTCCACGCCAGACAACGATTTTTCTTACCACTATCTCCCACCGACTACGGCCCTTCCAACCTCCCATGCCAGAAAACGATTTTTCTTACCACTGTCTCTCACAAACTACAGTCCTTCTGACCTCCCTCACCAGATAATGATCCTTCTGACCACTGTCACCAGACTACGATCTTTCCGACCTTTGTAGCTCTCCGACTATGGTTCTATCAACTAAAAGAATATTTCAATACTAATTATTCCAATTTTCACCATGTAATATAATGTACATTTGCTAGATCAACCCAAGGTCTTCCCCCCAAGGAAGGACCTCATTTGTAATCAACTGTAAATAACAGTGGATTCATTCAAACTGGGTCATGCCCCATGATTTTTCCCCCTTTTATGAACGCTACACCCTCTCATTTATCTACTTGTGTGTTGGATTTTCGTACAAATCTAAGGCATTAAATTCTATATTTTTTCGTCATCGCAAATATTCCAGGACGCAACAATTGAAAACAAAACAAAACAAAACAAACATCTCATATTAGCAAAGCTCACCTACCTACACACCCTATCAAACTAACTACACATATTAACATTCTTAGATATTTCAGAAATATTGATTCAAGATTCCTATTTATATTCTTTAATCTTTTTATTCAGAGTTGTCTCTATTCTTGTCCGTTCTTCCAGTCAGTGTCCATTGGGAAGAAGGGAAGCAAGCTAAAGCTAAGGAAAGGCAGTCCTCTTCCCACAAAAACTAAGGCAATAAGCCCCACAAATGACTAATGGAATAAGATTTTAATCTTGAGAAAGCTAATTTTAATGGAAAACACAAATCACTTAATGAAAAAGAGCACAAAATACACAGCACTTCAACAATAAAATATGGTTCATACAAAGCAAACTATTACATCAATAGCTACTCTCTTCTGATTGATGGCCTCTCCAAGCAATTCCCTCTAACTCAAATAAAACAAAGAGCTGGCAATATAAAATCTATATATATATTCCAAAATAGTGCTAATTCCAAGAGAGAGTCCTTCCTCCTTGCAGCCTTACTTGTCCCTCTCTTTGTCCTTCCTTTCTAACTTTCTTCCCGCCTAGGAGAAAATTTTGCCAACTACTGATTAAGCTTTAAATCAATGGCCATGATGATAGTGATGGTGATGAAAATGAGGAGGAAGATAGGAAGGAGAAGGGGAAGGGGAAGAAGAGAATGTAAATTGGGTCGAGTTGGGAGCAACGTTGTAAGAGAACGGCGACGGTGCGACTGCCGGTGTGTTAACTGGGAGAAAAATAGGCGGCAACGGTGGCGGACATTGATAGCATTTGGTGAACAAGCCGAATGTTTTGATTTGATGGATGAAATTAGTCATACTAGCCCATCCGCCGAACCCGAATCCGACCACGAAAACCCACCCGACTATGATCGTGTTGATTGTGTAGACCCCAATCCAACGCCCGAAGTATCTGGGCGGCGGCTCCACCGCATTCTGCAAGCAATCACACATATTTCAATTAGTTTAACATCAAGATGACTTAAAGACAAAGGCACCTTACAAAATTATAATTTCATAGGGTGGCACACTAACCAAGTATTTATTTATTTTTTTAGAACATGGCATTACCCTTAAAAATTATCAAATTATACAAGATTCACATGTCTTCACAAAGTACAATAACAACCAAAAACAGTTCAAAAAATATTTGACTGGGCCCACATGTCGGTCAAGGAATCACTTTAAGTCAACCGAACATACTCTTAAACTAAACAACTTTCATTAACTTGTAATTAGTAGCTTAACAATAACCATAATCACATTCTTAACATGCTTAATGACAATTAATTAAGTTTTAATACTCTTTACTCATTCATAGATGCATAACAAACTTTCAGCAAAGGACAATAAAAGCCTAAAATTATATTTATTATCTTCCTAATTTCTGGTAAGCTGACAAAATTACAAAACATTCATATTAAATTATGAAATTGCACATGGTGCACATGCCCATAAGAAATACAATATTAAGTAATAACAAATAAACGGTCAAGTCAACGGATCATTTCTTCCAATAACACCACCTGTAATCAAATCTTAGGCATGCTTAATTATAGTTAATTATCTTAATCAAGTAGTCAAAATTAACACAAAATTACTTCTATTAACCTCTTAATCTCTTATATCTAAGATATCAAACTTAGAGTCTTTTGAAATGGCTGTAACTTTTTGTAAAAGTGATGTGAAAAAAATCACTTTTTTGAAAGTCCAAATAATACTAAATCTATGTAATTAACATGCTTAATGATAATTAACCAATTAACAAAATAATTATCATCATAGATCATACCTCACGTGCGTGCCCGGACCGAAACGTGAGCATGTGAGCCAAAGCAGGGATGATATAAACAGTGAAGCTGACCAGCAGAGATCCCACGGCGGAGTTGATCGGCCCAAAGAAGGGGAAAATGATAGCCAGAAACCAAATGGGCACCACCACCGGCAGCCTCGCCGCCGCCCGCTTGCACAAACTCTCACAGTCATGAAGCCCAATGGCTTTCTCCCAGACAAAGTAGAGCGGCGTGCAGGCGAATCCGAAGGTTATGAACTGATGGATGAGCATCAGAACAACTGCGGCGTCGCGGAATGGAGTTCTTGGGAGCAACGCGAAGGCGTTGGATCGCTCCAGGAGCTTGTCGCCGAAGGCCCAGTAGACGGTGGCGGCCGACGGGAGGGTGAGGGTGAGGACGTAGGCGGTGGCGAGGAGGTAGATGGCTTTGAATTTCTGGGGCTTCCACATTGCGTGCATTATTTCCCTGCAAGATCAATCTTGCTGTAAAAAACTGCAGAAAAAGTTGAATATAATCTTTCAAATAAATTTTAGTAGTTATTAATTTAAAATTTGAAGACTGTACTTCTTTAAAGCATACCACATATGGTTTCATAGAGGATTAATGGCTGTACAATATCTTTGCAGCTTTTGCAGGGAGTAAAGGAAATGAAAGATTGATTGTTTGACTGTCTAAGGATTGAGTGTGGAAAGCAGAAGTGTCAGTCTTTGGCTTTGGATTCTTCATTTTTGTTTATTGGCTTTGAACTCAGATTGGAATCAAAAGATGCAGAGATAAGATCAGTGAATGGTTTTTAGAGAATTTGAGCTGATATTCAAGAAAAAGAAAAAAGTAAAGACAAAATTTGCAAGCAGCTTTTTTCCTTTTTATGTTGTTTTTTTCTTTGTTTAAAGATGAAAGTAGCAGAATAGCAGATGATGAGATGGGGGTATTTAGGCCAATCAAGATAAACTTTCTCTCACACACCACATACACAAGAGTCGAATCCAAGACCTCTTGGTTGGCAGCGAAAGCTCCAAGCCAACAAGTCAAGACGAGCGGACCTCTTGGTTAGTTCGTCAAAGCTAACCTATTCGTCAACGAATAGACCAAGATGAACTATGTAAAACTAAAACTTGTTGAATTGATAGTATGGTGAGGTATTGATGGGGTCCGGGGAATAAATGTTGAGAAAAGAAAATGCTGTCAGTATTTAAAGCCAAATCTTCTTATCCAAATATCTGTTACCATAATAAATACAGATTTCAGGTAACTTATTGTGCAAAAGCTACATTTCAGAGAGATTGAATGCAAAGCTACATTTCAGAGAGATTGAATGCAAATATGTAAATATACTGTTTGTTTTAGTTTAAAAAAAAAATCATTTTATTTAGGAGATGATTTGCAAATTAAAAAAAATTTAGGTAAAAACTTCTAAATTTTTTGGAATTGACAGATGCATATGAGGAGGGTTCGTCTATCACATCACATGGGCATGAGAGTTACTGTGCTTAGTTTATGAATCTCTGGAGCAAAAATAAGAGAGATAAGAAATGAAATGTAATGTTCCCAATGAAATTACTTGATCGAATGCTTTAGCTTATTTGTTTTCTATTTTATCTACTTTGGGAAGCAAATAGTTTGTCGCCTTACACAGTAACAGCGTGGCCACCAAAGGTGTAGAGAATGTTGGTAGCGCCTGTAAAGTAAAGAACAGGCTTCGTTGGCCCCGAATGCTTCACTCCATCCACCTGAAATAAATTTCAGACATCCCATGTTCTCTGATTAACCACTTTCATGAAATTTTTATTGTTATTTTTGTTGAAAGATAGCAAATTTATTGGATTTTCTACAAAAAGATTGCAAATTTATTGGATCTGTTACCTGGCCATGGAGAAGAGCAGCAATGGCAAGATACCAAGCAGTGTAAGTGGTCATAAGAAGGCCAAGGAATGACCATATCCTGTAGTTTCTGAAAGAGGGGATGAACACAGTCGTAGCACAGCAAGCTCCAAATATGTAAGTCCATGTTCTCTTGTCCAACTTGTCATTTATGTAATATATATTGCTGCCAGATTATCAGATTTGCATGTTTTCAGACATGAAAATAGCAGAGAAAAATGGTATGTAAAAGAATCATAAATATTGATATTAAATATGTTTTTTGCTTACAAAATGGCAAAAAAATATCAAAATTTCTATCATACCTAGCACAAGCAATGAGCTGGATTACAGAGCCAAAGAGTAGAAATGTACAGTTGAAGACCAAGCCCACATTTCTCCAATGCTTTCCAAGTAATCCTTCAAGAACTTCAAACCACTTCACACAAAAACAATGGAAGAAATCATATGAGACAAAGCCACATTATCTTAACTATGGAGAAGCTATATGATTATATACCTGTATGACATGATTTCTGAAATCAACCTTCTCCCTCTCCTTCCTAGTTCTGTACTCCACATAAAGAATACTTATAAGGTAGGCTGTCCAGCTTCCCATGAGACCATAAAGAAGCTGGAATAGGATGCCGCTAAGCATGCCGAGCTGGGAGAATGAGTAAGGTAAGGTGAGAAGCACCTGAGCAACCTGTGAGGAACAAGAAGAAGAAGAAGTAGAAGGTTTCAGAAGCTTGAATGTGTTTGTTGAACGTAAACTACAAGGCATTTTCAGTTTTACCTGGTTAGAGGCACAGCTGAACCAGGCGTCGTAGGCAGAGCCGCCATGCCAGAGGAGGGAGGAGAAGCGAGACTTGGCTGTCTTCTTCTCTCCTTCATTTTCCATCTCGATGTATCTTCCCACCATTACTGTTTCTACTATCTTGTCATCGTTGTGGTTGGAGGTTGAGCTCATTTTCTCTCAAGTTCTTGTTGCTTTATCAGTGTTTTTGTGGTAGAACAGAGTAAGGTGGAACAGAGAAGAGCTGCTGGTCGTGGTTTGGGAGCAGAGGAAAGAGGTTGTGCTCTATTTATATAGAGATTCTGATGAGTTGGGCTCTTTTGGCTTTCTTTTCGGTTAAGAGTGTTGGGATTTTAATTTGACAGAATAAATCATCATTTACTGTAATTTACTCAGTAATTTCTATCTATGTTCATAGCGTTGTTTTGGTAAAATTATTGTGCGGACATCGAATGTCGTTCGTTATTCAGAGGCGAATTAGTGTGTCACGTCATGATTTGCTATGTATTGATATTATGTATCAAGGTGATGTGGCGTATTCTCATTCACCTCTCGACTGTCCGTTGACCTCATGTAATAATTTCTCGTTGTTTTGAAAATTTTTACTTACGAGCATGTAGACATTTATGTTTTTCTTTTTTTTTAATAGAAATTGGAAAATAATAAAAATGTATATAAAATTTATTTATATATATTAAAATTCATAATTAATGTTTCAAATTGAGACAAAAAAAAAGTAGTTTATTTAATTATATTGGATATAATTCATTAAATATTAGTTTCATATTTTTAGAAGTTAAAAATTAGATATTTATATTTGAGATAAGTACTAAAATGATCTCCTAATTTTTGGGGAATGATCAAATTAGTCTCCGATAAGTTAAAAGTTTCATTTAGATCTTTAATTTTTATAAATAGAAAATTAAATAATCTCACAGAATAATTAATTTGGTTCCTATTAAAAAGCCAATCGACCAAATTAATTCTTTCTATTTTTATTTTTTTTAATATCTGAAAAATAAATAAGTAATTTATGTGCACGAAAATAAACTAATCACGTTCTGTTGTGTTAATTATTTATTTAATTATTTTACGGTTTCCTATAATGATATAAAATACAAATACTGTGAACTAGACAACACGTGCCAGCGTGCATGGCTCGCCGGTCCGCACGAGCGGCTCGACCCGGTTCCCGAGCCGGAATATTCACCGGAACCGGCGGTCTGGCGATGCGAGTATCCGAACGAGAGAGGCGTAGCTTGAAAAGTAGCCGTTGGTGGATTATTCAAATCGGTGGCACGGTAATTATTGCCCTTTGCGTGCCTCATTATAACCACTTCCCAATGTCGATAGAAGTTTATAACGACAGTAAATTCTCTTACATGTGATTATGTCTAGGAGTGAAAATGAGTCAAGTTGAGTTCAAGTTAAATTTTACTCGAATTCATGCTTGAACTTGATTCGAGCTCAAATGTCTTGCTCTAGCTCAGCTGATGGCGATAGATGCGAGCTCGCGCTTCCCATTCTGGTCTCGCTTTCATGTTTATTGTTCCACGAGACCGCACCTGATTTTCCGCTTCTGTGCCCTCGCTGCCGCTTCCGAGCTTGCACTCATGTTGTCGCTTATGTGCTTCCGCTTTCCGCACTCGAGCCGCTCGACGAGTAATTGAGTCGAGCCTCATCTTGATCGAACTCAAACTCAATAATCCAACGAGCTTGATAATCTACTTGAGCTTGAGCTTGAAACTGATAAACTCGGCTCACAAGCTCGTTAATGAGTTGAGCTCGAACAAACTGTTGATTCAACTTGATTTGCTTGCATCCCTAATTATGTTCATTAATTCTAATTATGCAAATTTTTTGTTGATATAGATTAGGATTAAGATCATATGTAAATAAAATACTATGTAAAATTAAAAAAAAATTTATTGATTAATCAAAATGATCAGTTGAATGATCTTACTAGTGACAATAAATTGTATGTACAAAAAAAATAAAAATGAATATTTTTAATAAGCTATTTTGTTCATTATTTGTTTATCAATTAAATTTGATGAAATAGAAATTTAGAAAATATAGTATTAGTTTATAAAATAAATAAAAGATGGAAGAAATTGGGCTAGATAAATGTCAAATTTATTTCAAAATAAAAAAATATTTGATTTATGAGTAAAAATAGATGCAGAGCTACAGTTTTGTTTTCGTAAATATCATAATTTTCAATGAAATTTTTAAAAAAGATAGATGTGGAGCTTACAATCTAAATGATATTTCATTTCTCAACATTCCTCTTTTAAACATGTTGGCTGAATGCTTTGTCTATCAATTAAGATATCTTGAATTTAAATAATGTATATATACGTTATGTGTGAGTCTGAACACTATCCCTTAATTCTCCCAAAAAAATATTTCCTTTCTCACTAACTAATTACATACAAAGCATTATGTACTTCTTAATTAAAAGACTTTTTTATCAAAGTTATTAGCAAACCATATGAATGATGTTGGAAGAAACAAAGATCATGTTGGTTGGATGCTTTGTCTATCAATTAAGAGATCTTGAATTTAAATAATGTATATATACGTTATGTGTGAGTCTGAACACTATCCCTTAATTCTCCCAAAAAAATATTTCCTTTCTCACTAACTAATTACATACAAAGCATTATGTACTTCTTAATTAAAAGACTTTTTTATCAAAGTTATTAGCAAACCATATGAATGATGTTGGAAGAAACAAAGATGTTTTTATTCAAATAATGTGAGTGCGAGGCTGAAGAAAGAGATCAAGGAACCCAAATGAGGAAGAGAGAGAGAGAGAGAGAGAGAGAGAGAGAGAGAGAGAGAGAGAGAGAGCCTTAAGAGAAGTGTAAGACTTTGAGATATAAGGGAAAGAAAAGTAATAAAAGGGAAGGGAAGGGAAGACCGCATCATTACTTAGAAGAGAGCGTGTTAGCTTTAATGGGAAGAGAGCAGTTGGAAGGGAGAGTATGAAAGCTGTGAAGAGGCTCCCTACCCAAAGGCCCTTTACCACATGGGGGTCCTCTCTAAGCTTCAGCATTCTACTTTCTAATTAGTAATTACATTCTCTCTCTCTCTCTCTCTCTCTCTCTCTCTCTCTCTCTCTTCCTCATTTGGGTTCCTTGATCCCTTTCAATTATGTACAATTTGTTCTAATTTTTCTGTGCTTGTTAAAAACTTTTTAATGATTAACTTAATTCAAACTTTTAATTTGATAAGTCTTAATGACAATAGATAAAATTATGTTGATTACCAAAACAATGAAATTTCCAACTAACATGAAGATGTGGGGCCGACCTTGATGTCACATTGGGACCCCCAAGGATTATCAAGTGTTTGATCTTGGAGGCCCAAGGGAATTGTAGGGCTTGAGAGGGACATTCCTCCCTTTTATTTTTATTGTTATTCTTAGGCACATGGTTCTATAGTTTTTAATCTCCAAGGGGATAAAAAATAGTTTCCTATAAGTTATTTTCTATAGTAGTAATGAATCCTTGTTTAATCTTTTATTTCTTGGTTCTTGATGCTTCTTTTTAGATAGCCATTGATGCATTTGCATTAGCTTATTTTATTTAATAGTAGATCATTGAATTAACCTATCAAGTGCTATGGTTAGGGGTGTCAATTATTGACCTGACCCGATAATTCGATTCGAAAAATTCATGTTAGAATCCACTCGTTTAACAAACAGGTTGGGTTGGTGTTTAAATTTATGGCTCGTGTGAAAATTGGGTCAAATCTGGGTTAACCCTAACCCGAATTTGACTCGAATTTGATCATATATGCTGCTGCCCACCCCCCTTTCGCACATGCACAGGCCCCACCTCTGTTGCGCTACATGCATGCATGTGCATATGCACCACACAAACACCCGCGTTCCACATCCGCATCGTGCAGCTCACGCACACACCCCAAATCCCAAAACCTGGGCTCGCATCCTCACCAGTACTTGCGCTCACGCACGCAACTTGAGCTAGTGCCTCACCCTCACCCACTCGGGTCGCACACCTCGTACCTGCTTTAGCCCCCTGGACTATACCCTCGCTATCCTATTGCATGCTCACAATCTGGGTTAGTGGATCGGGTCTGGTCGGGTCAACTCGGTAACCCTATGGGTCGGGTCTGGGTCTGAATTATTGACTTATTTGTCTAATTGGGTCAAGTTCAGGTTGAACTAGTTAAAGGCGAGTCAGTTAAAGGTTCGACTTGAATACCCATTTTGACACCCGGACTATGATTGTGAGAATTATATGTCGCTTATATTAGTATACACCATAAACTTATTCATAAATTCAATGTTAGACTGGGGTTAGGGTATAAGTCAGCCGTGTCAACTCGCATGGCGGGCGGCTCGAACTAGCTTGTACGTCATACAAGCTCGAGCTCTAGCTTAACCTGGCTCGGATCATACACTTGTCGAGCCACTCGTTTAAATTAATATTTATTTTAAAATTAATTTTAAAATAATATAATAAAATATATACTAATATTATTAATTATTATAATATTATTTGAGTCAAGCTCAAAGTTGTCAAATGAGCTCGAGTAGTTAAACTTGAGCAATAAAAAAGATTAAATATATTTATTAATAACAGAAAATTTATCGACAAATTGACTTATTTTTGTATATTGGACTCAATAAATAAATAAATAATTTAGCTCGCTTACACATTTTATCTTCTTCAAAAAATCTTCCGAAACATTAATATTCACCCAAAGCTTAATTAATATATAAACATTATGCAATAATAAAACAATAGAATCTGATAATAATTAACTCTAATTAAGGACAAAAACAATAATTAATAAAATGGTTGTAATTTTTATTTACCACCTCCAACTTTTGTTTATTACAAACACGATAAGATCACATTGTGCTCGTTTCAGAAATAATAATTAAAGCTTCTTTCATGTTTGGAAAAGACATAGTGCTGCATTCATGAAAAGAAGAGAGCACCAAAGTATTTCAAACGTTAGCTATGTGAAGCTCCTCTCTTATATCTATATTTAAATTACTATAATATAACTTTTAACCTGAAAAATTAATGTAATTAGTCATAAATTTTATATATTTGTAAACAAAAAAAAAGCCATTTCATGCAAAAATAAGTTGCCTCACACACCTATGATGGCTTATTAAGAGTCTGTTTATGAAGAAATTATTCAATGC